TGTATGCCTCTAAGACTCAAGTAATGGAGCCTACTTCGGTCTCACTTATCAAAACATGGATCCATATTCACATCAGCTTGTGGGATTGTACAGTGCTTATACAACAAAGTTAATAGAGACAATTTAAAATTTCAAAAACTAAATATTTATTTCGCCCTTATATTGGTTGCACTCCTGATATGGATGCCTGGGGTTGTTGCATCTTCCCCCCCACACACACACACACTTCTGCAAGCTGCTGAGAGCAGCTACATGAGAATTTTTAATTTTGAATAGAATCATGTAGCATACAGTGTTGAGCCACTTAGTGGGGGATTTTCATGCAAAAGAATATGGAAAATTCATTGACTCGATACAGATTTCCAAATTTGACAAACTGATTAAATATTTAGAATTTATTTAGGAATTCACTCTTGGCTGGAGTGGGTGGGAGCCAAAATCTTTTTTTAAACCCTCTTGTTCTGTAACAAATATATGTCTACAAAGAAAAAACATTTCCTTTTTGCATCTGACTTAAGATCTGGGCCAGAATATGACCTTTTGGGGCCCCAGGCTAATTAAATTATGCCATTCGCTCAGATGAAGACATCCTTTAACTCATCCGTGTCTTGAATATTCTTTACTCATAACATATTTTAGCGACATTTACATAGCTTGAAGTAAACTTCTTTAAATAAACTAGAATAGTTATCTTTTGTTTGTCAATAAAAATATTCTTTAAGAAATACCACTATTCTACTATTTATTGTAAATCAAATTAGCACAAATTTCAACACAACCATAGTAAAAACAAAAACAGTTTTTTTATAACCAGCATTATAACAATAAAACACTCAAAATACAGGGTGCGATGAATAAATTGTCATTTAAATTACGCAAAAATGAAAATAACACATCTCATTTTAACAGATATATTTACCAAAATTACACAAAAATATCTTGAAATACAAAGAATAAATTTATTCAATAAAATCGCCATTAGTTTCAACCATGGCCTCCAGACTACTTCAGAATCTCCTGCATCTCTTCTGGATGGTCTCCTTGTTTAAGTTGGTAAATGCTGCCATAATGATTGCCTTCAGTTTATCTTTGATGTTACAAGGAGTTTTGTTGGCCTTTCGCTCAACTGCATCTCACACTTAATAATCAAGGGGGTTGCAGTCTGGGGAGTGAGATAGATGTAAGGGATGATGTTGTTGCAGAAATTGTCTGACAGCCATGACTGGGTTCTCCTGTTTGTGTGGCATGGTGCAGAGTTTTATTGCCATGCATAGGGTCTTCCAGCAGCCACACTCTTGACTCAGGGCAGCACTAACTTCTCAAGGCACTTGATGTAGGGTTTTGTGTTGAGTCTGAGGCTCTCACCAATAAATTTAGGAATCCTTTCCTTATCAGAATGATCAGAGTGAGTTTTCCAAGCTGCAATACCTTTGTAATCAACATTAAACTTACACAATTCTTTCCAAATCCTCTGCACTGTCCTCAGATTGACACCCAAATACTCTATAGTGTTTGTTTTGGAGCTTCTGGTGCAAATGCTAAGCAGTACAATATGCTGTTTCCAAATTTCTGGCAGAGTGAATTATGTCATGATGCTTTGTATTCTCAACTGACCCTACTACATTGTGTAACAGACAAAATCAAAAATAAACAACATGCATGTGTAAAATTAAAAATATACAATGGCGACAATTTACCCATCGCACCCTGTAAATATGAGTTTCTCATATTGATATCATTTCAGTTTATGAAACTATTTAGACGTAAAATCTAGAAAATTAAAATCATTCCTTTATAAAAGCTTGAGGGGTCCTAGCCTAAAGGATAATCTGACCCTGGGTTGCAGCCTATACTAATCTAAATGATAATCAGACCCTGCTTAAGATAAGAATTTTTTTTTTATTCTTTAGATGAGCCATGAGAAATAACTAGCATTGTCTGTCTTGATGTAGGCTTGAACATTGAACTTTTTCATTTCAAGTCATAACCATCAAGTTACAAGTCTAGGACAGATAACTGAATGACTGAATTTGATATCCTGATGTTTTCATCATGTGAAAAAATATACTGATTTGTAAATTGATCTAAATGGCTTCTTCCCATGAGAGATAGAACAATATCTGAGACAATGCTACTATTCTGTGGCATTTAATGGTCTCATCATTTAGTAATGGTTTGAACTGGTTTTGCCTTGTCACTTTGTACAGATAGCGTGATTCATCAGGCAGAGAAATTGGTTTTTAAATGACCCATTTTTCAATATATATATCTTCTTCTTTTCACTGTACAAAACCACTAAATAAAAGTAGAGAGATTATTATTTTATTATGCTGTTTGGAAAATAATGTCTGATTTTAGAATAAACCTTTTAATTGTGTTCTAATATATTATAATAGTTGCATGAAATTGCACATTCCTAATTAAAATGTCAAAAATGCCACCAGCAATGGTTAATCGATGAGATTTAATTCTGCTTCATGACAATGCTTGGTTACATGTTGACAGAATGACGCTGATGAAGCTAACTGATTTGGGATACAAAATCCGTCATATTCCCAAGATGCCAACTGACTACCACTTTTCAAGCATCTTGACCATTTTTGAAGCCAAAAGACATTCCAATGCAAAGAAGTGCAGAAACTGCATTCAAAAATTTCTTGGTATCCAAACTTTTATGATAAAGCCATAAACAACCTTGTAACATGATGGCAGAGATGTTCAGTGTTCCTATTTCGACTGATTTAAACACTGTTCAAATACATTCATTCAGGAATAAAAGTTGATTCTAAAATTAAACATTATTTTCCACACAAACTAATATATAACTTGTCAAAGTCTCTTGATCAGTGTAACAATTTAGCATCCAAGGATCAAAATTTTGTATGTATAAAAACTGAGTGAATTTTTAACATATATTCTATTTTTTCCTATGTTACACTGCTAAGAAATTTTATTTTCCATTAGACTATGGCTCAGCTCTTCTTGTTTCTCCTCCTTCTCCAAAGTTTTAGCTTTCATGGATTTATGGTTCAACACAGAATCCCTAATTTTTTGCTTTTCTCATCAACACTACGATTACCCCATTTCTTTCTGGGGTAGAGCAGTTGTCATCCAAGGCTATAGAATCTGGTCTGTCCTGCTATTTACCCACAGCTGGGGGGAGAAGAGGATTCATACTTTTCCCAAGGGTATTAGCACATAAGTGAGTGTAATGGATTCAAATGGAATTCGAACTTGGCTCTCCGATTCCTCGATCCGAGCCACTATCCATTACTCCACTATGCCTTCCTATTATATTACATTATATCACATGCTATTTTTATATTACAAATGTTTTATAACATGCAAAAATGTTTTCCTCTAGTGGATATTTTGGAAAATTTTCAATAGAAATACCAATTTCATGTGCTCGATAAATGATCTTTAAGCAACATTTTGACTTGATATTTGTTCTTAGGTTCTGCAGTCCTATTCTGAACAAATCAATAATAAATAAAATAGTAGTTTTTACCATTGATAAAATTGTAGGTTTTATTTTCCAAGGAAGATGGCTATCAGAATAGCAAAAGATGCCTTCCAAAAGCTAAACAAAGTATTAAGAAATATGAAAATTTCTTTTAGAAACAACAAAAAGAGTTTTGTATTATTATATAATATCATTCCTCCTGTATGGCAGTACACCATTTTTCATTTGATTTGGGTCTTTTAAAGGTAGAGTGTAGCAGCAGGAGTCAGGTCATGTGATACATTTATGTAACCAAAACTAACTGGATATCCAACTAGAGAAGTCTTGTAGAAAAGAGAAGAAAGGGTGAAGGATGAAACACAGTGTTATATGGAAAGATATTATAGTTTGCATGGCTATGAAGCACACCAGATTAACATAAGTGTACAAAAAAATAAATGCTTGTTTTACATTAAACCTGTGTATTGCAATGTTTTAACTATAAATTTGAGGAAACTTTTAAAAATGAACAGTGTGCAGCAAAAAGCAGGTGGTAAAAAAAGAAATGTTTAAAGAAACTGTTGATATTTTAGCATTCTGCTTCCATTTGATTGTATTATATTATTATGATTATTTTCAATTCAGCAAATACTATTGGTTAAAAAAGATTTCAATGCATTTTCTATGTAATAGTTTCTTACGATGGCAAATTTTGTGCAAACTAAACACTAAAGTGGATCACAGAAGCTTTGAATAATTCTCTGACTTCTGATTGGCTAATATATGTGAAAAACATTACAATGCCTATTCAAGGGTTTGTCAAATATATTTCCACATCAAAACCAGTGGAATTTTAATCAAAAAGTGTTGAAGAGTTGCCTGATTAGTGGCAATAAGTCATTTCAAATAATTGTGAGTAGATAACTGAACAGAATATAGTTGTAATTTATTTTTTAAAGAATAAAATTGATAGACAAAAATGGAAATTATTTATGACTCAACCCAATAGATAAATTCAGGGAAATGTTTATAGCTGTAAATTCTTTTTTATTTTAACTAACGTTCACCCAATACAAGGGTCAAGAGACACACAAGGTAGAGGATTACTGAATGTTATACCGGAACATACCTATTCTATTGTTAATAGACTCTCCCACAGATAATAAATAGTAGTAGTAGCAGTTGCCAGGGGGCTCAGTGGAGCTGGTGTGTCAGTCGATGTCGGACATTAAGGTATCAACCTCCCCAACTAGATTACTGCGTCATTAACTATTATTTCAAGTTCCTAACGTTTTGTACGTCAAACCTATTTTAGGACCGACTTAGTGAAATACAAGCCTCCACTGTGAAAACTACTCTACAACACTGAATGAGGTGTATGATATGAACGTAAGAGGAGGAAGTATGAAATGAATGTTATGAGGAAATAGTGGATACATAATGTTTGACCCTAGATTTGAAGAGGTTTAAGATTTTAGCATTCTAAGAAGTATCTAGGTAAGAGTTCTTGAGAAGAAGGTTTCAGAGTGGAATGCTCTTTTTGGTAGAGCTCACTGCCATATCATGTTGAAACACCGGTTCTCATATGACCACCAAAGTTAAGCAACATTGAACCTGGTCAGTACCTAGATGGGTGACTGCTTGGGAATATCAGGTGCTGTAAGCTTGAATTTATGTGTGGTGCATTCAATAACAACTGAGAATTGGAAATCAGAGAGCCGAGTTCCAATTCCTGTTGGGTTTGTTATCTTCACTTACATGCAAATACCCTTGGGAAAGGTATGAATCCAAATCTTCTCCCCGCCCCTGCTATGGGATAATTAGTAGAACTTGTATCAGTAAATCATTATTATCTTCAAAGATTTCTAATCTAAGGCTTTAAATAACCTGCAAAAGGTTGATAAACCATAAAGAACAAATCAATCATTTTAGCAAAGGAATACATAAGGTAAGTGGGAGATTCAACCCTGTTGTTAATTGGGGCAAGAATTGGCTGGTCAACTTTAACGCCTCAAAAACTAAACTACTCTCTATTAATCACCATAGAGATCCTTCCCTGTCCCCGCCCCCATTAGAATGTCTGATAGTCAACATCTTGAGAGCAACTCCCTGCGTCTGCACGGTCTCACGTTGACTGCTGACCTGAGATGGAACAAATACATTTCCACTGTGAGGAAAGTTGGCTCCCTGTGCCGCACCAGGAAATTTTTCTTCCCAGAATCGATACTTCAAATATACAAATCAACCAATCGCCCTTGCATGGAGTATTGCTGCCATATATGGTCTGGGGCACCTTCTGTCTACCTCGGAGTTCTTGACAAGATCCAGAGACTGTAATATAATTGGCCCTGATCTGGCGTCTCGTCTACAGTCACTCTCTCACAGATGCGCTGTCGCCTTTCTCTGTCTTTTCTACAAATACTTTCATGGTAATTGCTCCGATGAGCTGCTTTCACTGGTTCCCAGACTCCATGAATTTAAGCACCCTACGAGGCTGGCATCGCACTCCCACCCTTACACTATAGAAATTTTTAAATGTAGCCGTCTCTTTTACTCCAATAGCTTCATACCTCGCACCTCTCGCCTGTGGAACACCCTTCCCAATTACTGTTTCCCTGAGAGCTATAATCTCCAACTATTCAAATGTAATGTCAATCGACACCTCCAGTTACCTTGATCTACCCACTATCCTTCTCCTCATCCTTTCTTCTATCACTCCTATCTGCTCTCGCTCCAAATCTTCTGCAACCCCCTGCATCCTAGTGGCTTCACGCCATGCTCAGGGTGTAATGCTTAAAAAAAAAAAAGAAAAAAAATATAGCAAGGTGGGTCTTAAACTGTAAAAGTCTATGCTGGCGACACTAAAGAATGGAGCTTGTTGGAACATTTGCTAGTAGAAATAGTGATAGGCTTGTAACATTGTGTTTGAAAGGCTATGCAGGGTGGAATATAAATTAAAAAACGCCATAGTTATATCAAAAGTTTGTTGAGCAGAAACATATTTATTGTGGGAACAAGTGATTTATATCATTGTCTACTCAGGTGTCATGATTGATACTGACTAAGCAAAAACTTTTTTTTTTTTTTGCAGGAATGAAAGAAAGTTTTTAAGTGGTATATTTATATATACATTTTATTTACTTCTTGTTTTTGGTTCTTTTTTTTTTTTTTTTTTTTTTTTTCAATTTCATGTTGTACTTGCCTTTTGTGTTTGAGACAAACAGCATGTATTTCTCTCCTCTAGCTCAATTGTTAATGTTTTAACTGTCTTCACTCACAGAATCAATGAGGCACTCAGTGGAAGTATGGAAGGCTGAAGGGATGGAAATTTTAAATGCTGTGTAATTTTTATCTTTCTCTATAAAGTATAAATTGAATTTTATTTTATGTTGTTATCCACTCAGTATGGATATTGTATCTTATTAATAATTTTCAGTAAAAAAAAGTTTTTAATTTCTATGAAACCAATTAAATAGAATATGTTCTAATAATTTATTGACTATAATTTGAATCTAATTTATTCATTTTACAAAATCTTAATCTATATAGATTCTTAAAGTTTTTTTCATGAACACAACAGCAGCTTTTTTTTACTAATGTTCACCCAATACAAGACCCAAGAGCCACTCAAGGTAGAAGGTTACTGTATGGTGCTGTACAAGCATAAGAAAGGGCAAGAGATGAAGTTATTGGTGCTATGCAAGAAAAATAATGGCTAACACAAGATTTAATTAATGAATAACATTTCAGAGTCAGAATTCATTTGGAGACATTAGTAGTATAGTGTAGAAGTAGACATTAGAAGGTACCAGAAACCCAATCCTAAACAGGAATCAAGGGATAAACATCTACTCTTGTTCAAAAGACAGTGTCAGAGTGTGAACCAGATGATAGTCAAACCTATCTACTCATATTAAAGTAAATAAATAGTAATTAAAAGTTCAGAGTTTTAGGCAGAGATTTTAGAAATATAGAGTTGAAGTATACTTTAGAAGGAACTGGAAACCCAATCCTAAACGGGAAACAAGGGATAAACCTCTACACCAGTTCAAAAGACTGAAGAGGAGTGAGAACTGTTGTTATCAGAGCAATCTAAAAGGCTTTTGACAAGGTGTTTGCTAGATAAAATTTTCAGCTATGGCATCTCTTGAAAAGTTTATGAAATCAACAAGTCCTTTCTCTCAGGCAGATCAAGAAAGTCGTTGTGAATGGTCAGTCTTTTGAAGCTCACGAGATCAATGGCGGTGTTCCTCAAAGATCTCTTCTTGGTTCTGCTATCTTTCTGCTTTTTATTAATGATTTACCAAAGAACATTCTCAGATCATTAGTAAACTTCTATGCAGATGATAACATTGTTCATGGATGCACTTCAATGCCTCAAAAACAAACTTAGTATAATTTTATCATCATATTTCAGACACTCGAGTCTTGATTAATGGTGCCATTCTAAATGAGGTTCCATGCTTTGAGTGTCTTATAGTGACATGGGGTTTTGAGTTTAAAGTGAACAGTTGGTTTACCTATGCCAAGAAGAGTAATAGAGGCTGAGAATGACAAGGAAACACATGGGTAATATTAAAAAAACAAGATAAGGAATTTATTTATGAATTTACATGCTTGAAGTTGTGTCAGTAGCTCATTTCAGGAAAATAAGTGAGAAATTATTAAAGTCCATAGTTTTAACATATTGTCATGTTATTCATACAACAGATTAAATGATCTGACACAAAATAATATTAAAAAATGTTTAAAACAAAGGTAAGCAAGTTACTTGCTCATGGAAGGGATATATGGTTGCATACATACAAAAGTAGATGAAGACAGATAGTTTGAAATACTTAGTTTTCTTGGATTATTGAAAGAAAGTTCTTTGAAGTCTCATTATAATATAATTGGCAAGTAATTTGACACTCGGAAAATTTAAATGCTGGATGCGTGAACAGAAACAAAACTTTTCACATGACTTCACACACTCTTCTCGTGTTAATTTAATTTAATTTCTTCATTTTATATCAAAAAAGATTTCGCATAAGTTTGCTATTTTTTTCTTTCTTTTTTTCTAGGCTCAACAACTAATTTTTGTGAAGGGAAGGTTTTCATTGGTTCAAAAAAATTTCACATAGGCTCACAAATTTCTTTCCCTCTTTTTCTCAGCTCAAGCAAATTAGAAAGAAGTAGGTAAAGGGAGTTATTATTATTTCATACTCACCACAGTCTATTGGGTCTCAGGTCTACTCTAAACCTAAAGTGGAACTCATATATATGAACCACTGATAATCTGTTGCTATCAATATGGCAAATGTTCAGATAAGCTTCATTCTTTCGTTTTGCAAGTTCAAGAGCTTTACAGCTAGGATATGCCATGCCACTTCTATGGAGTTGAATTACTCTCATTCTCCCCATGTTCCAAATGTAAAAAAAAAAGTTCTATCTTTTTCCCAAGGATTGCCACTTTCTAGAGCAAACTCCCATGTGGGTGCTTCCCTGAACACTTCAATCTTGATTTCTTCAAGTCAATAGCCAATCATAACCTTTTCTCCTTATCTTCATAATCTTCACTTCCTACAACATTCTCTTCCAGTCATATCACACACCTCATACATCATTACCAATTCAGCTTTAGCCCTCTACCTTGAGTGACTCTCCAGCTTTATATTGGGTAAAAATTAGTAAAGGAAGATTAGTTTTTTGTTGTATCCTGCCACTTCCAGGGAGTTGAATTAGACTCATTTTCCCTGTGTTCCAAATGTAAGAAAAAAATTCCACTCAGTCTGCTTTTCCCAAGGATTACCAATTCATGGAGCAAGCTCCCATGTGGGTGCTTCCCTGAATACTTCAATCTTGATTTTTTCAAGTCAATAGCCAATCATAAGCTTTTCTCTTTATCTTCATAACATTCTCTTCCATTCATATTACACACCTCATAAATCATTACCAATTAGGCTATAACTTTCTATCCTTATATTTAGTAAGATATTTGTTTTGTCTTGTTTTTTGTTGTGTTTTTTGTGATTGGTTACAATCTCTAGAACAGCTACAGCAGTGCAGGATTCAGATGCCAATGACCATGTGGCCACACATTGAGTAGCAACATGAATGTTTGTAACTTAAGTATCTGTTTGCTTTTTTCATACAATCATAATGTGAAAATAAACTTTTATTTACCACATTATGTTTGCTTCATTCATGATTTTACTCTAATTATAAAAGAATTTCAAAAGAATGGTATTGGTCAGATGTTTAAAAGAGCTAATAGTTATTTTGTTAGTTTGCCAATTCAGAGATAATTTTAGAACTTGGCAAAATTGTAGATTTTCATCAATGTGCACTCATGTGTGTATGGGTGTTGATCAATGTCAGGCATGTGTTTATTATAGATGTTCAAAATGTATGTTAATTGTATGCACATGGATATTTAAGCTGACTTCAATCTGGTAACAGTCTATAAAAAAACATGACCTCTGATAAAAGATTTTTGATGCATCACCTACCTTTGCTCAAGGGAAACTGACAGATTTTACAAGTAAATGACAGCATATTATATAAAGGGATATAAGGTGCAATTTAACATCAGTGTTTTCTAGGTTAATTTGAAGTGATATAACTAACCAGTCATTAACAAAGAATAGAATCTCATACCTTTAGGCCAATTAATTGTCTCTTG